CTCGGTGTCGATATGGCCCAAGATCAACCCCAACCCCATGAGCCCGCCCAGGACGCCTTACACGACACCTCCGGGCAGCTTGCGTGGGCGCTCTTCAATGTCAAAGACTAGGCGCGACCGACTGCCTCCTCCGCCGCCTCAGTACGCCGAGCTCCCGGCCGAGCCCGTCCACGCGGCCAAAAGCTCTTATAGCAGTCTCAACAAAGAGTGTGGGTTCTCTAGGGACGAGGGTTCCATTGCTCAGATCCCCAACACGAAGAGACCCAGAGCGAGAACAACACCAAGGCGGCCTGAGAACATCGTGCTGCCGCCGAGAAGGTCGAGCATCAAAATTGTGAGGCCGCACCCAGATGCAGTCCTAGACAGTCAGAGGTCGATCGATGACATCCTGGGCGGCGGTTCCCAGCGCCAAAGTATACTGTCAGATGGCCCTCAGCTGAGTCCCGGAGCCTTTTCCGAGGCACACTCCATCAGCCCAAGCATCGCAACGACAGAGTTGTCGGAGCCGGTCGTATCGAGCGCACGGTCTGCAAAGGCATACTCAATGGCATCGATTAAGCAATCCGACATGCCGGTGCTACCATCTCGTCAGTCCTTTTCTGTCCGGCCGGGGAGCAGCGATACAGCGCAGACCACTCTTGTTGGAGAGTCTCTAGCGTCTCGGAATCCCTCTACAAGAACGGCTGCCTCGCGGCAAAGTCGCAAGGAGCGTGTCAAGTCTCTCAAGCAAAGAGACATGGATGCGTTGCGAGCCCTCACGAGACAGGGACCCCAAGACGATGACGGCGAGAGGACGCCGAGGCCCAGGACCTGCGAAACGGTCATCAGCTCCCTGCGCCTCCCTTCTCGAGATGGTACGTTCGGGTCCAAGGACCACCTACCGCAAACGAAATTATCCGCCACGAACTTGGCACTCATGGCCAAGTCTCACAAGAAGGCGACGAAACACAACAAGAACGGCACTTCAACAAAGATATCAGACTGGCAGGCCACGCAAGATACCGAGACGGAGACCATAGGCTGGGAGACGGCGCGAGAGGAGCTGACGCCCGGTTGGGAATCCGCGCTGGAGACGCCCACAATCGACTGGGACAAGACGCCGTTTCTGGGGGACATCACGGCCGCCGACCACCGGGCCTCGACGGACACGATGGACACCGCCGCCAACACGTTTGGGAACGGGGACGTGAGAGACAGCACGCTCAGCTCCGAGCCGCCTCGTCGGTGGGGGAGCCTTCACCGCGCCAGCTGGGCGAGCTCGGTGCCACTCTTGGACCGCATTGGAAGCTTCGCGCCGTCCGACGCGAGTGCCGTCGCCCAGGCGGTAGAGATGGACGATGGCCACGCAGAACCGCGGCCAGCTCGCATGACGCGCGCCGACTCGGGCACTCTTTCACAAGCGGACGCGGACCGGCTGTGCTCGAACCGCTTCAGCTTTGCGCTGTCCGACGATAAGGTCAAGATCGATGTCGCGGACGACAGCCAGTCCATCGCGGGCAGCATCGCTGCCTTCCCCAAACCCGGCTGCGGTCCTCGACTGAGCGCCATCATGCCCGTCGCCGAGGTCGTCCCCTCGCTTCCGGTGGACGAGAGGTGGTCTGCGTCAACCCTCAACTCGCCGGTAACAGTCATCGAGGTCTCGCACCCGCCCTTTGCGACCAGCCAGCCGCAAGGAGAAGCTCCCACGCATGTTGCGCGCCCACATACGGCGGGCAACACCAACTCCGTGCTCTTCAACACCGCCAGGGCCGAGGGACATGTCAACCGTTCCGACAGCAAACGAGAGCCGACGGTATCAACTGACGACCCCGCCGGCGACGCAGACGAAACAGCTACCCTGCGACCGAAAAGCCTCCGCTCGCAAGAGGGAGGAGACGCAGGAACAGTAGCAGAAGCAGGAGCTGGAGCAGACCGCGACCCCCTCAACCTGCTCAACATGTCAGCCCGCGAACTCCGCAACCACTACGCCAACCTCCGCAGCGTCCAGGTAAACCACCTCGCGCACGAGATGCTCCGCAACCAGGAGCGCCTCGAGCTGCGCATGCACCAGCAGGAGCGGAACCAGATGCTCTTCATCGAGCGCCTCGAGCGCTGCATGAGCGACTTGCGCAGCCTCCCCGGGTCGCCCCTTTTCGGCCCCGCCGGACCGCGCGGGGGAGCAACACTCCCCGACTGGCCCCTCTGCGGCGGCGGCGTTGGTCTCGGCGACGACGGAGGAGACGACTACGTCTACGAAGAGCAGCACATCAGCCGCGACGCGAGGCACGAGGTCCGCGTGCGGAGGACGGGCCGCATTCGCGGGAACACTACGAGCACCACCGCCACCACCACCACCACCCGGACATCACAGCGGCAGCGGCAGTCCGAGGAGTCTCACACCCGGGGGAACGGTGTTGGATGCACAGGTGGAGACTTTGACGATTTTGACGGGGACTTTGTGAACCTCATCCACCCCCGACAGAGGCGCCCGTCAACCTCGCACGAGATCACCCCTCGCACCAGCGTCAGCATCGGCGGCGGCGGCAGGGCGGTCCGGGGAAGCAGGCACCAGGCGGTGATGATGCAGCCGCTCATCACGCGCGGGGGGCTGGACGCCATGGAGCCGCTGATTCGGGAGCTGCAGGTTGCTTCGCGGGTGAGTCTGGAGGCGGCGCGGACGGACTCTAGGACGGAGACGCCGTTGCCGGATACGGAGTATTACTATAGTTTGATTTAGGGGAGGAGGTTGATTTTGGACCTCACATTCTACTTTTTTTCCTATTTCCATCTCTTCTCGTTTTTCTTTGGCTCGGACGTGGGAATTGGCCGGCTTTCCGCCTTCATGAACTGAAAGGTGTAAGCCATTGTAGCCAAGGTATTTGATGATGACCCATTTCCTTTGTCTGGATGGCAGGTGTGGTTTTAGGTGTTATCTTGTGGAACTTTGTGGATGAGGATTCTCAGGATCAGGATCTTAAAATCAGGGATGATGAGAAGTGAGTATACCCAGAGCTCACAACACCTTTTAGTTCAGTGTTATTTTCCTCCTTCTTTTTCTTTTCACGCCCATACCATGAGCGTCGGACGGACACCATCTGCGCTGCTGATGCAAGACGCGAGGAGACTCAAAAAAGATACCTATTTTGCTTTCTCGAATTGCCTGATCATCCCATTAGTGATATGCACTGTGACAATACGAAAACTACAATCCAAGCTAGCCTCGTCCATGAAGAACGCCCAACATCTGAGCTACCATGTGCCATGTAGATCGATGAGATGGAGATCGAAAGCCCCCCAGATCTCTCAGGCGTATCGTCAAAAAGGTCTCCAACCAATGACGTCGTCGTCTAATGGGGTGCGGGACCCTTGCAGTAGCTCGTTTCCGGAAGGGGTTGATCTTCAACTATTTCTGGCGGGGGCTAGCGTTTCTCCCTAGTAGTGTACGCAGCAGAGCAACAAAAAGTCATGATGTCTTTGACCTAGATTCTTTGTGGAGCTGGGAAACTCAATTCGAGGCTGAAGCTGGATATTTGGTTTGTCTTGGATGACATGCAGCTAACTATTCACTCAAGCTACCTAGCTTACTCAAGTTTTATCATTTGCAGCTCCCATTCTCCTCCCCGTGTAGTGGTTGTCGATTGAAACTCGTGACAGACTTTCACTTCCATCGTGTCTTACACGCGATACATCCACCATCCTCACTCAACCGAAGCCGTACACAAAACACACCCACCAACCACCCATCTGCTCTCCCAAACACCAAAAAAACATAACAACACCCTCAAACCACAATGTCCCGCCCCTGGATCCTCGTCGCCCCAGCCTCCCGCGGCATAGGCGCCCACCTAACCCGTCACCTCCTCCGCACAACCACCGCCCCGATCCTCGCAACGTGCCGCTCCCCCGACACGACCGCCGTAAAGCAGTCCATCCTCTCCTCCCTATCATCATCATCTTCTTCTTCTTCTTCCTCCTCCTCTGAAAAGAAACAATCCCACTCCTCCCCAGCCGCAAAGGAAACAGAAGACCTCGCCTCCCGCCTCAAAGTGATCACCCTCGACGTCACCTCGGAGCCCACAATCGCCGCCGCCGCCGCCGAAGCAGCCTCCCTCTTCCCGACCTCCACGCACCACCTCCGCCTCGCGCTCGCCACGCCGGGGATCCTGCACCCGGAAAAGAGCCCCGCCCAGATCGACTACGACGACGCCCTGGAGACGTTCCGGGTGAACACCCTGGGGCAGATGATGCTCATGAAGCACTTCTCCCCGTTCCTCCCCAAAAAGTCCGTCAAGTTTTCGACATCCACTTCTTCTTCTTCTTCTTCTTCTTCACCGGAAAACGACGAAGCGAGAGGCCTGCCCCCGTCCCGCGCCGTCTGGGCCGCCATGTCCGCGCGCGTGGGCTCCACGGCGGACAACCGCAAGGGCGGGTGGTACAGCTACCGCGCCTCCAAGGCCGGCGTCACCTCGCTCGCCAAGTCGCTCGACCTGTGGCTGGCCGCGCGCAGCGGCGAGAGGGCCATGGCCGTGGCGTATCACCCGGGGACGGTCAAGACGGGGCTGTCGCAGGGGTTTTGGGATACCGTGCCCGAGGGGAAGCTGTTTGAGCCCGAGTACGCGGTGGAGAGGATGTGTAAGGTGCTGACGGAGGAGGTTGGGATCGAGGGGAGGGGGAGGTTTTGGGATTGGGCGGGCAAGGAGATTTTGCCGTAAAGAAGGCGGGATGTATGAACGATGTTTGCATGAAAGAGGGAGGGATTTGGAGTCTAGGCGTAGATGAGTAGAAAAGAAGCTCCCAAAATGGGAGTGAGGATCATTCGAGATCTCAAAGGGGAAACACAGGCAGCTTTAGCATCGTCATCATTCCATGATAACTGATTCTATAAAAGTCGTGAAGAAACGGCTAGTTGTACACGAGACACGGCAACATCTCTGGGTAACTCCGTGCTGTGAAAGAACATTCTCCGAATCACCTCCCATCACCTCACCCCACAACCACAACCGCAACCATGATCCCCCGCCTTACAAGGCTACATCCTGGAAAGATGCCCCGTCAGGAGAGACGCCCGGCTTCTCCCCCTTTGTCGGATTGTCCTCGTCTCCCTTGCCGTCCTCACTGTCGTCGTCCGACTCCTCCTTTGGCCGGTGCGCGAGGTTCTGCTCGTCCTTGTCCTCCAGCCGCACCTTTTGCTCCTCTTGGTCCACGATCCGCTTCTGCTCCGCCTCCTTCTCTTCGTCCCCGGTAGCCGGCTCTTCCTCCGCCTTGCTGAGGGGGTTCTCGGCTTCGGGCGACTTGGCGGCCGCAGCGTCGCCGTTGCCCTCGGGCGTGCTAGCGGCCGGGGGTGTCGGCAACTCCTTCTGCGCCGGTGGTGTCTGCTGCGGCTGAGGTGTCTGCTGGAGTTCGTCGCTCGAGGGTCCGGGCCTGAGTGCGTCGAGGTAGAACTTCGTCACGCCCAGGATGCGTCCGTTCTTCTCGCAAGCCTCAACCCACTCGGGGCGCACGACGGGAATGTTGGTCTCGACAGCCTTCTCCCACGCCAGGCCGCGGCCCTCGGTGGTGACAAAATGCGTCGTGTCGATGCGGACGCTGTCGACAATCTTGGCGCCGATGCGGTCGACCGCCGCGGACAGCGCCTCTCTAGTGGCAGGGGGCATGATGCCCGTGGTGATGGTGATGCCGCTGAGGTCCGTCATCTTATGGGTGCGCACAGTGACCTTTTCGGAGCTGAGGGTGCCGGCGGTGGTACGCAGGACGAGGTGGAAGGTATAGTCTGTGTCGACGGCAAGACCGCTAATCTTTGTGCTATGCATTTGCAGAGGCCGGGGAATGTTGCCAGCCTTTTGGCCGTTTCGGTGGAGGGAGAGGGAGAGGATATCGGCAGTGGCGAGCTCGATGGGGTCCCATTCGAGGACAACAGAGGTCTGGGTTGCGTTGCGGCAGCGCAGGACGGGTGTCGTGGGCGAGCTGGCGCCAAAGGACGAGTAGATGCGGTCCTGGAGCTCGCGGAAGGCATGTTCGGTCTTGGCCTCTGAGCCTAGGTTGCGGGCGACGGTGATGTCGACGATGCTGCCGGAGGAGATGTTGGGAGGGAGTAGGATAGACGGGAACTCGATCTGGGCGCTTGGAATTAGTACAGGGTCTCGTGAGTAGGCGACGATGACATTGATGAGCGGAAATGGAGGCCAGGGCGCCGGGGATAGGGCGCCGGGCCTGTGGACCATATAGCTTCCCTCGAAACAGCCCGCAGTTCATCGCCAAAATTGCAGAGTGCATTGGGTATGACGTACCAGACGCTTATCCGGCGTCAAAAGCACCGTGACGCCGGCGTCGACCTTGCCGACGGTCAATGAGACGAGCATCGTGAACTGTGTCTGCTGGTGTTGAGGCTTCGTCCCAGTTTTCGAAGCGTGGTACGTGATTGCAAGGTTGTTGGTGTTTCCCGTCTCCGGCCAAGGGGGCAAGGTGGGATCAATTGCGCAGGGTCGGTCGCCGATTCCGTAGGCCTTTCGTCTCGGTTCCAAGGGCGGGTTATCGTGATGAGTTCGGTATGGAGGTGGCCAGGTGGGTGAGCAGGAGATTGTTGCCAGCGATGCTTGTGTATGCGAGACACATATGCTGGATCGAGAGAGGTACAAACGCCAGTCACAGTTAATTACCAGGTTGGCAGCTCCAGACGTCTCGGCTGGCAGCTCTGCGCTAGCGATGTGATTCGTCGCCAACAACTCTGCAACTGCCCTTCACACCGTGGACGGGGCAGTAAGGAGTTGAGGTGGCTGGGTACGTACCTGCCCCGTGCTTCACCTCAGTTCTCATTCCAAATGTAAGTCTTTAATAACGGTTGATTGATTTCGTCTTATTGTTCGCTAGATATTATGATGGGACGTTTTGTAGACCGTTGTCGCTTCTGACGTATATGCTTAGACTGCATTGGGGTTTCTGACGTCCACTTTGTCTCCCAAGTTGTGTTGTGTGGTGTCAAGACCGCCGCCAGCTTCTCACGAGATATCAGTAACATAGGCAATGGACGTATGCTTCCCTGTCTGTAAAGGAGAAAAACAAAAATAATGGTTTCTATCTTAGGGGTATCATTTGTAGGAATTATGTTACACAGACGATAGCCGAAGCCGTCATCATGAAGGTTGCCCATGCCATCTCTCAATAATGGGACCATATCCATCTCTCCGCCATCTCCAAGATTCCTCATCACGCCCAGAGCTGGCCCGAATCCAGAGGCCTTTCTTCTTCTCTCCGGCGCTTCTCTTCGGCGACCTTGAGCCTCCGCTCCTCCCGCCTGCGTTTCTTCTCCTCAATGATTCGCGATCGCTCCTCCTCCTGTCGCAGTCTCCTCTCCCGCCACACCGACTCCTTCTGAAACTCCTTCTCAAGCCACTCATCTTCTCGCCGCTTCTTTTCTGCTTCTGCCTCCTCTTTCCGACGTTTGGCTTCCTCCTCCCGTTCAATCTCTTCGCGTGCTCTCTCCTCCAGTTTCCTGTCGTACTCGCGTTGCCACCGCTCCGGGTTCTGCTCGGCGTCCTTGAGTTCAATCAGACGGTCCACGGCCACGTCCATCGCCGCCCGCAAATCGGCCCGGGAAAGCCTCTTCACCACGTCGGCGGGGAGCCTGGCAGTGAGCGCTATCGTGCCTATCAGGCTGCCCTCTAAGGAAGTGTCCTTCCCCGTGCGGTTCCTCTTGGGCCTGAGCAGACGCCCCTCGGGATCGTAGCCTCTGACTTCTAGGGCGGCGTGGAGCTCGCGCCTCATGGTCCTCCGGGCAGTATTTACGACGACCGGGCCCCCGTTCTGGGTGACCCCGTACAGCCAAACCCAGAGCGGCGTGTTCTCTTTCATCTGCTCGTACTTGTGCCTGTACAGGACCGTGTAGGGATGCTCGTTCATCGTCTCGACGAAATACTCTCTGTCCCAATTTCTCATGACATGCCGTGGAGATATTTGTATCTTTATCTGCTCAGACAACTTTTTCAGTTCGCCAGGCAGATGGACCATTCGGTAGTCCAAGGCGGCCAGCCCGATGTCCAGGTCGAGGAATATTCTTTTGAAGTGATGTTCCACTGGTAGCGTCTTGAAGTTGACCGGATGCGGGGGTGGCTTGGTTTTTCGAACTGACGGGAGCTTCGAAGCGTCTTCCTGGGAGGCTTTCGAGTCTTCGCCACGAAGCCTCCGTTTAATCTTGTCCAACTTCTCCTGGCGCTCTCTGTTACGTTCTGATGCCCAATAATCCCTGCTTTCTCTTTCTTGGCGACGCCTTTCATCTGTCCATCTTTGCTTCATGGCGGAAACGCGGAGTCGTGGGTTGTAGGAAGAGAACCAGGAGGCTTGTGTCGCTATGGGTATACCAAGAGGCAGTCTTCGCATCGTGCTGGTGACATGTTGAAGTCGTATCGGCATCATCGCATGGTCGTCGCCGGGGGCGGTCCTCGGGCACTCATAACTCGAGAGTACGCTCCGCCGGTGGTATTGAATGACAGAGTCTATAGGTCAGGTCAATTCCATAGAGGCCGGTCTCTAGATTTCAAACGGCGACGAGGCGCGAATTTGCGATCTGCAATTTGCAGGCAAGCTACGGCTCTCGAAGAAGTGATGCAGGCGAAGCTCTCCCAAAATGGCTTAGGTAAGTCGAGGAAAGCTTAGACTACCTTACAATGAAGTGGATCATTGGTGCCACAATTGTCATGCCGGCTGTGGCTCATGCGAATTCAATGGACTGATGGAGATTGGTGAATGACACACACACACGACACAGTGACGCCCAAGTGAATGTGAGCCACAGCGCACCTTTCTCCATTTGGTGACGGTGACCAACTCACATACTGCGTAGGTAAAGATGCCACCCCACTTGACTCATCTACACTGCAGGAGAGAGTGAGAAAAAAACCGAGCCAGTCCGTTTCAACATCATTCGCCCCTTCCCATATGAAAGGAACCCACCTGGGCTCACACACCGCAGACACCCAAACAGAGACCAGTAGCCGCCAGTTCCCCAGCGACAGGACCCCCTGTTCCATCCATTAGCTCACTTCACTGCCCTGCACACGCACCTGCACAAAAAAGCAATCCACCACAGCCACACCTCAGAGCCCAAAGCCCAAAAAAGCACCACCATTTTTTTGTTACGGGGGCGCTTTCCAAACGCACACAATAAAGCCCACCGCCCACTTTCGCACTTCCTCTCGAACATCTCGCTCTCTCTCCCCCCTTCCAACCAACCCACCCCCCCTTCACACATCCTACCTATACCGCTGAGAACCGGAATTCTCACGAGTAGTCAAGATGCCCAAGAATAAGGGAAAAGTAAGTTGTTATCCCCCCCATTTCCATGCCCCCAAGTACGCAAGGCGAAGGAGGAAGAGACGAAAAGAAAAAAAAAAAGACAAGTTCCTTCTCAGCGACAAAACCACCCCTCCCCCTGCTTAGTCGCGCGCCCCGCCAACAACCCCGCCCCCTCCTTGCCATTGCTCGACACATACACACGACGCACATTGGCGATGATGATGATGGCGTTGACGATGCCACTGGCGATGGAGGTGGAAGCAAATGGTTGATCATGAAGACTAACAACCAAAACAGGGAGGAAAGAACCGCAGACGTGGAAAGAACGAGTCTGACCACGAGAAGCGTGAGCTCACCTTCAAGGAGGATGGCCAAGGTTAGTTCACCACCCATTCCCAACCCGAAAAAAAAAAAGAAGAAGAAAAAAAACACAGACGCGTTCCCACCGCCACTTCCCATCGCTACGGAACAAACCAAACCAAACCAAACCAAACCTCCAAAGCGCATCACAGCTAACTTTCCTCCTCTCTCTCCCACAGAATACGCCCAAGTCGTAAAGATGCTCGGCAACGGCCGCCTCGAAGCCCAGTGCTTCGACGGCGTCAAGCGCCTCGCCAACATCCGCGGCAAGCTCCGCAAAAAGGTCTGGATCAACCAGGGCGACATCATCCTCCTCTCCCTGCGCGAGTACCAGGACGACAAGGGCGACGTCATCCTCAAGTACACCGCCGACGAGGCCCGCTCCCTCAAGGCCTACGGCGAGCTCCCCGAGTCCGCCAAGATCAACGAGACGGACACCTACGGCGCCGACGGCGACGGCGACTGCAACTTTGAGTTCGACGACGACCGCGACTCGGAGGAGAGCGAGGACGAGGGCGCCGCTGGTGGCGCCGGCAAGAAGGAGGTCGACATTGATGACATTTAAACCATGTCGTCTCTTGTCTTCCAACACTCGCAACAACATATCAGAGTGTCTAGAACCCCGAAACCTTCCCGCTTCTCAAATCATTCGTCTTTCCTCTACCGCTAGATGGAGAGAGGTGGGAACGCTGTCTTCTCTCTCAAACCCCGTGGTCGTTTAATTCTCATATTATCCGTTGTAGGGTTCCGCGACAGTCAAGGTGTCAAGGGTGGTGCGTTGGACGGGCCATGGTGGGAGAGACGTCATGGCTTGTCAAATCATCAGAACGATAGATCTTACCTCTTTACTTGCGCTTGAGTAATTAAATCCAGTTTGGTCCGTGGCTTGCGCCGCTTACCAAATGTTCATCATATCACGCTTGCCAATTGTCTTACTACGTGATATGTCTACAGAACGAGCAGTCTGTGCAACGCGTTTGAATTTTGTTTTAGTTCCAATTTCTTACATGCGGTCAGCGGGCTTGCTTCGAAAGTAAGATTGTCCTTTTTCTACCCAGCTGCCGTTCTCCAGATGCGGATATGCTGAGCATCTCCCCGGCACCTTTGGGGTTGACCAACCAAAGAACTGTGATGCTTTTAGACCGTACCCGCCCGCCTGATCCCTAATTGTGCAGCTGTCGCTTTGGATAGCCAAGAATCGAATACGATGTAATACTGCTTCCATCCGCCCAAGAAGCCTAGGCCACAACTTGCGGTACCGGTCCAATGACCCCAAGACTGTCCTTCATACACGTCCCTCGACCCCGAACAGGTCATCGCTTACCAGTCGTCGTTGTCGCTTCTCTCATCATCTAGTGACGTATTAGCATTGGTACAATATCAAGACGTGCTGGCTTTCACTTACCACTTCTGCTAACTTTCTCCTTTCTCTTCTGGAGGGCAGCGGCCAGAGCGTTAGCCATGTCACCACCACCACCACCACCAGGTGCTACACCGGCTGGAGGCAAGCCGCTTCCATGAGGACCACTATCACTACCGCCACCAACTGTGGCACTGCTTCTGTCGCGGATCTGACTGCGGTCCACCTTCTTCAGGGCCCTGATGCCACCAGCTTTCTGGATGTCTCCCAAGACGGCCGAGCGCGAAGAATCCGGTTGAGGAACAGGAACGCCAGAGGAGTACCCAGAGTCTCGGTTGGGCATAGGGGGTGGTGGAGGAGGTCCGCCCAGGCCTCCTGGTGGTGGAGGTGGCGGCGGTGGGGGAGGTGCTCCTGCTCCGGGAGGCGGCGGAGGAGGCGCAGGCGGCGCATTGTTTAACGGAGGCAGAGGAGGTGCCGGAGGGGCATTGGACGACGGCAATGGCGGCGGCGGAGGAGCATTCGATGTTGGGAGAGGTGGCGGCGAGGTGGGCAGAGGCGGCGGCGGAGGAGCACTCGATGATGGCAACGGTGGTGGAGGAGGAGGCAGTGGCGGACTGCCAAGCGCTGGGGGTGGAGGCACCGGTCGTGAAGACGGGGGTGGTAACGGCGGTGCCTCTGACGCCGGAGCTTTCGGAGGGAGTGGCGGGCCATCCGAACGTGGGGGCGGCGGCGGTGGGACGGGTCCTCGACTCGGAGGTGGCGGGCCCTGCCTGGCCCCGGCAAATGCGGGCGGTACACCAAATTTGTGTCCAGCAGGCCTTTCTTCCTCTTGCATTGGCGTTTTGGGTGGCCGCGGCGGAGGAGGTGGCCCAGGGTTTGCTGGCCCACCACGAATAGCATTGACTGAACCTCCCAAAGCATGTGCGAGTTTGCCGGCATCAGGTAGGGGAGGCGGTACTGCGAATCGACTCCTCGATGCTTCTGGCGCTGGAGGCTCGCTTGGGGGTGTCGGCTCTCTATTGACAGCAGGCGTATCTGCTTTTCCAGATCTCCTAGCAGGCGGGGGTGCAGGTGCCGCGCCGCGCCTAGGTGCGGGCGGGGGCGGAGGTAAACGTGGGCCATCTGAATGACTTCCTCCTGGAGGAGGCGGTGGAGGAGGCGCTCTTCCGTTCCGAAGTTCAAGGCCATTTGTATGTGGTGCTGGCGGAGGAGGCGGAGGAGGAGCATGACTCCGAGCGCCAGCCATTAGTTTCTCTTGCTCCTCCTTCAGGAATTCGACAATGAATTCTTGGTTCTCCTTGATGAACTCATCCGTCAGTCCCTTATCTCGGAGATCTTGGCCGAAATTCTCCCGCCATTGAGGGTCGAAGGCATCAAGAACAGCGAATTCTGAAGATTTATGACCGCCATTCAGAGAAGGCATACGGCCATGTGGCTGGTTCGATCGCGGGGAGTCAGGAGGGGTAGGCGCTGCTGCATGCCGGCCGCCAAAGAGACCTCCAAGTAGACCATGTTTATGTGCGGCAGCCTGGGAGGCTCCTCCGAATGGTGTCGATCTCGTAGCTCTGCTTGCGTTCTTTTCTCTATCGTCCATTTTCTTCTTGAATTGCTTGGCTTCCTTCTCGTCGGTGAAAGAGAGGCCGGCGAGGCATTCTTCAATCTCAAAGCTGTGGAAATAGGTGCGATCTTGATTGTAGCTCCACGTGTCGAAAATCTCCTGGTCCCAGATGACACCGCGGTTTCCAGACTTTGAATATGTCAGCCAAAATTGCACGAGGCGCCGTGGGCGCAGTCACTCACTGAAATGTCCACCATCTTGAGCCAGTACGTATTGCCGACGAGATCGTTTGACAGGACGATGGCGCCCTGAATACCCGTGTTTGTCCATCTCGCGGGGTTGGGGTAAGCAACGTATAGCCTGGCAACGGCTACGGCTTGGATCTTGTTGGTCTGCTTGGGGACGAAGCGCTTGACCGTCTCCTTGTCATCGTCGCTCAAAATCGACGGCATGATGGCGGCGGGAAGACTGGGAGGGGTCGCCGGAGGAGAGAGGGGGGAGGGGATGTTCGGTGGGATCGGTTGGGTGAGGTGTCGTTGTTCGTATGTAGTTGAATCAAGGTGGAATTGGAATTGGGACGAGGTGGAGTGGTTGTATGGGTCGTGTGCTTGCAAGAGCCGCGGCAGCAGAGGCAACAGCCACCTTTGGTCGTGGTGGTTTGGGTTGTACGCGTGTATAGGCGATGGAAAGTGGCGCTTAGGAGTTGGTGATTAGGCTGGGCAAACAGACACCTCCTCTTTCGGGATGGCGCTTCGTAGTATGATCGCTTTCAGTAGTAGGTAAGGTGATACCTGCAAGGACGACAAGGACCCCGAGACAAGTCAACCAAGTGCCGTCGCTTGTCGGTGTTGGAGGCAGCAAGGCAAGGTACACTGTATGGTACACAGCAGGTAAGGTATAGCTAGTGTCGGGACGATGCTTCGCTATGCAATGCGGTATGTGAGGCAGCCACTCTGCGTCCTACAAAAAGCAAGCTGCGTGGGAGAGTGATAAGCTTGTGGTCAAAGATGCCAGAGCTTCCGGGTCCGGGGGCGTTTCATGAAATGTGGACTCGCATCACTCAACGGGGGAACCCTGGAATACCATGTAATTGGGCTTGCGGAAAGGCTGAAGGGAGGAGAAGGTTGTGCCGGGTGATGGCGAGGATGAGGTCCGGGTGGTTGTATGTGAGATGAAGTGGTGTGCGTGCGTGCAGTTTGCGAATGGGATAATCGGCAAACCTGGGACCTGACCTGACTGAATGGCAGACGATTGTTGGACTCATTTCGGGACAGAGTGACCGCCCAAAGACACTGGGCTTACGCAGTACCCAAGGTACCTTACGCAGCCCAGCAGAGGTTGGCGAGTGGGCGCTGGCTGGCCGGGACTCGTAACCGGCCCTGGGCCACGGCGGGCTGGTGGCTGAGTCGTTCGTTTCAGTGGACTTTGGCTGGGATGTTTCCCTCCTCCGGGCGCTGCTCGGGCGACTGACTACCTGCTCAGGCCCCGGTCTTCGCTGTCGGATTGTCCTTCCCGCGTATTAAACACAGGCACCAGCCACACTGCGTTTGCACCGCCACGTGGAATACAGAGGAAGGCTGTCGTCATTGTGGGACGCGCAACCGCAGCATACGCCGTAAGGTAGCATCGCTGCTTCCCGAAGACACCGGTAGCGGGCATGGGCTGACACGGCGACGGAAGCATGGCGACGATCACCATCAGATTTCCAGAGTGGAATACCTACTCACTCCGATCCGTTCTGACCACACTGCAGGTGGATATACTAGAAAGGCAATGCAAGCAACGTTTCAAATTGTCTACAACAGCGCGATGTTTGATGGCCAAGGGAGCCCAGGCCATACCAAAAGTGTCAGGTTATGTGGGATTTGATTCATGAATTCATTGGCAGTATTAAGATGACTTTATCCACCGACCAATTCTCTAGCCTCCGTGCTTGTTGATCCGTTTCCATCGCCGTTTCCCATAGTCTACAATTCGTAACTGGTCATACAAGGCCATGCATCACATTTGATGCTGCCTGATCGTCGTGCTGGTTTATTTGTTCAAAGCCTCCGCCTTGGCTCGGCGCTCCTCCTTAGTTCCCTCCTCTTGGGCGTTGAAGTCCTTGGGGACGGCAGGGCCGGGGTGCGCTTGGTGAGCAGCAAACTTGGGGTCGACACCACCCTCCTTGATGGGCTGAGTGCTGAATTCCTTCTCCTTGTCGGAGTTCTAAGTAAGATGTCAGCTTCGCTGCTGTGGGTGAGTATGAGGGAGAGATGCTACTCACGTCACCCTTGGTGATGTTGTTGACGAGTTCCTTAACCTTGTCGGCCATTTTGACTGATGTTTGAGTACTTGGGTGGTTTAGTTTGAGAGTCTTTGGTGCTTTGATGGATTGATAGTGTGATGGATAATTAAACGGCCAGGCAGCAAGAGCAGGACACTGGGCTACTTATAAACTATCTTTGCTGGTGGCTTACATGTGAGTTGAGGCAGGTCACTGCGGTACGTGGAAGGTTGCGACGGCCGATGACGTCGTCCCGCCCGCAGAGGGGTAGAGGCAGTCACAACCCCGCGAGCAACATCCCCGCTTACCTGGAAGGCCTCCTATGCAAACACCAAAAGACGCATGTCTTTTTGGTTGTGCGATTGGCTCTCTGCGTGTACCGCGCTTAGCCGGGCCCCTTCAGCAGCCATTGATCTTGGCATGTTTGGATGGGAAGATGCTGGCCAGACCCTCTGCGCGTCACTGGTGAATTACGTGCATATCACGAAGGCCGCTAACGTCCAAGAGGATGGGACCAAAATCTTGACAAAAGACGGCAGGCTTTCCAGTGACAAGCACGCCATGCTCCATAACCCCACGGTTGCATCTGCCAGTGATCGTTGCCGAGTCTTGTCGATTCGATGCAGTGTTGGCGCTAAGCAGGATTGTTGTTGAAGATCTCAACATGTCTTGTTTCTGTGACCACGGGGTGATTCTAGGAGCCAACGAGGGATAGGGGTCTGCAAGTGAAATGAAGTAGGTAAAGTGGTAGAACTGAGAGAATCTCTTCATCACCGTTGAGATTTCATGCAAGATTCCCGAGGCACCTGCTTCGGCGGTGCTCAGCCGTGTCTTTGGCGAGTGACTGGACTAACACCCTTCGCCGGTACGTTCTAAGCTTACATGTTAGCGTTTGCACCATGTCCTCAACAGTGGATTTGATTGACAACGGCCACTTCTGAGAGAAGGCAGTGTAGTGCAGGAGCTTCCTATATGACTCCATTCCAATAGGAAAGCGAAGCAGCCAAGTTGTAAATGACCATCTGACTTCGTGAAGTTGAACGTCTTGCTTGAAGTTGGATGTCGCGAACGTACAGTAAGAGTGGACTCTTAAGCACCGTATTGACGACTACTTCTTACCGTGCGTGGCACTGTATGGCTGTGACCAGGAACTTGAGTGGTGACCTCAGTCCGGATCCAGTCATGATCGATCCAATGTCTTGAGGTAGCTTTCAACCACACTTGGTGCTGCCCACGGCCAGCCACGATGCACCATGTCAAACAACGCTCAGCCGGTCAAGCTCTCTCTTCCCCTTGTAAGTCCACCCTCTTAATTTTAACGTGCTTCATCAAATTGACTCCTGCCAGGAATACCAACAGAGCCTGTTTCAGGAGCTGCGGAATGAAGATGAGCTCGTCGTCCTCGCCCGTGGGCTGGGGCTCATGAGGCTCGTCACAAACCTGCTTCACTCTTATGATGCCGCAGGAAACAACCTGATTATCCTCGTTGGGGCCGAGGATCGCGAAAACAACTGGATTGGAGAGGCGCTGGCCGAGCATGCCGCAATCAGCCAGTCGCCCAACGCGAGGGGGCTCACGGTCGTCAACACCGACTTCACCAGTGTCGGCGCGAGAGAAAAGATGTATACTCGTGGTGGAATCTTTAGCATCACATCGCGAATCCTTGTCGTTGACCTCCTAACCAATTTGCTCGACACCGAGAAAGTCACCGGCCTCATCGTTTTACACGCCGACCGCGTCGTGGCCACGTCGCTTGAGGCCTTCATTCTACGCATCTATCGACAAAAGAACAAGGCTGGCTTTCTCAAAGCATTCGCCGATAATCCCGATCCATTTTCGACCGGCTTCTCGCCATTGACCACCATGATGAGGAACCTCTTTCTGAGAAAGGCGTCATTATGGCCACGCTTCCACGTTACAGTAGCAGAGTCTTTGGAGGGCAAAAAGACGGCAGAGGTGATCGAGTTGAACATCTCAATGAGCGAGCCCATGCGAGACATTCAAAACGCCATCCTGGAGTGTGTGGAAGTCAGCATTCACGAGCTGAAGAAGGGCAACACGGGCCTGGAGATGGAGGATTGGAACCTCGACAGCGCCCTGCACAAGAACTTTGACGTGATCATCAGAAGGCAGCTCGACCCTAACTGGCATAGAGTTAGCTGGAAAACTCGACAGATCGTCAATGACTTGAGCGTCCTTCGAGGCATGCTCTCGTCCGTCCTCTCCCTCGACGCCGTCTCATTCTTGCAACATTTAGATACCATCCATGCGGCACATTCGCCACCTCCGGGGTCGACAAGGCAGAACCAGTCCCCTTGGTTGTTCCTTGACGCAGCGCAGACCATCTTCGAGACAGCGCGGCGTCGAGTCTACTCCGCCAGCGCAAAAGCTGCCACAGCAGACGCCAACATCGATTCACTTCGCCCTGTTCTCGAAGAACAGCCGAAATGGGCTTGGCTGGCGGACGTCTTGACAGAGATTGACAATAGCATGCACTTTGACCCACCGGCCCGCGACGATTCCAACGGTACCATTCTCATCATGTGTGGGGATACAAACACCTGTAGACAACTTCGAGACTATTTGCAAACTATGTATTTCAAGCCAAAGGTCGAGAAAGATCCGACGAAAGACGATGACGACGAAGACTCGGCATCCGCAGCTTTCATGATGAGGCGGAAGCTGCGTAACTACTTGCGGTGGAAACGGGAGTTCGCCCAGGTCAATGCTACACTATTTTCCGAAAACCAAAAGGCTCTGAATGGCGCCACCGATCGAAACGGTCAGCGGCTTCGGGGCAAGGCACCATCGAACAAGCGCAGACGCATGCGAGGGGGCGGTATGGCGGGAACAGCCCAAGGGCGAGCCGACAACGGCAGCATCCTCCAATTCTTTGAAAAGCCCACGGATGTCGAAGACCTCATGGCCGAGGTGCAAATCACAGAGGAGGAAGCGGACCAAAAGCCAGAGATTGTCACCGACCCTCTGGAGAACATGGAGGACTTTTTCCAACTGTACGAGATGCAGGATCTGGTTGTCATTCACGCATACGACGGGGACCAGGATGAGCACGTCTTGGAGGAGGTGAAGCCCCGGTACATCATAATGTACGAGCCCGACGCCGCCTTCATCCGCCGCGTCGAGGTCTACCGGTCATCCCACAACGACAGAAACGTGCGGGTGTACTTCATGTACTACGGCGAGTCGGTCGAGGAGCAGCGGTACCTCTCGAGCGTACGGCGCGAAAAGGACGCCTTCACGAAGCTCATCAAAGAGCGGGCGTCCATGTCCCTGGTGATGACGGTCGACCCCCACGGCGCCGAAGACCCGCAGGAGGCCTTCCTCCGCACAATCAACACCAGGATCGCCGGCGGCGGCCGTCTCGCCGCCACGGCGCAGCCGCCCCGCGTCGTCGTCGACGTGCGCGAGTTCCGCTCCTCGCTGCCGTCGCTCCTGCACGGGCGGTCCATGATCATCGTCCCCTGCATGCTCACGGTCGGCGACTACGTCCTCTCGCCCAACATCTGCGTCGAGCGCAAGTCCATCTCCGATCTCATCTCGTCCTTCAAGGACGGCCGCCTCTACGCGCAGTGCGAGACCATGTTCCAGCACTACAAGAGCGCCATGCTCCTCATCGAGTTTGACCAGAACAAGTCGTTTACGCTGGAGCCCTTTGCCGACCTCTCGGGCAGCCTCAACAGCATCGCGCCGACGAACACCTCGTCGGACCTGCAGTCCAAGCTCGTCCTGCTGACGCTGGCGTTCCCCAAGCTGCGCATCATATGGTCGTCATCGCCGTACCAGACGGCCGAGATTTTTGAGTCGCTCAAGGCGCAGGAGGACGAGCCGGATCCCATCGCTGCGGTGCGCGCCGGGCTCGATAAAGATATGCAGGCCGAGGACCAGGCTTTCAATCTCGAGCCGCAGGAGATGCTGGGCGCCGTGCCGGGGATCAATCCCAAGAATATCATGCGACTCGTGCTGGCGACGGAGAATCTGAGGGAGGTGGCCAACTTGACGGAGAGGGAGCTTGAGCCGATGATTGGGAAGGAGTCTGGGCGGCAGGTCTATGGGTTCTTCAACCGTAATGTCCTGGAAGATTAGATATGTAAAGATCAAAATACAGCGCTCTATTCAATGTCAGCGAATTTCATACCATGTCGAACGATCTTCTCGACACGGTGGTGTACTTTTGTCATCCAATGGTACGTGAGAGCTCTTGGCGAAGATAGCTAGCATATAATACCAACTGTCGGTCAATCGCGACAAAAGCAATTATGTGTGTTCAGTATCACAGTGGCACTCCTTTGTTTGTGGATATCGTGTTATACCATTCAAGCTAAGCTACCGGTATCTGGGTATCGTAAAAGGGAAAAGGAAAAAACTCGTGGGTGGGTATGCTGTCAAAGCTGATATCGCGTCGCACTCTCCATTACTCCTCAACCCGGCCCTGCACTCCTCCGTTCATTCGTGGCAATAATTCGAATCGTCATGGCTCAACCCCTCCCACCTTCATGTGTGAGACAGAAGGGTCGGCTTAGACGCGACTTCTAGTCGTGGCCTTGTGACGACGTCCGCCGCCGCCGCGACGACCGCAGTAGCCGCAGGTGAGGAAGCTGATGATGATGTTGCAGAAGGAGACGATGCCGCCGATGATGGCGTGGAGGATGCCTCCGATGCCGGAGATGACGGAGGTGAGGCAGTTGCCGATGGTCCGGAAGACGGATTGGACCTATAGGGTGATTGTGATTAGTTTGTGGTTTCTCCCATGGTAGTCGGGTATGGAAGAGGACTGATGACTTACACAAGAGACGACGGCGCCCATTTTTGCGGTGTTGTGGTATTGGTGGGTTGGAAAGTGGTAATTTGTAGAGTTGTAGAGAGAACCTCGAAGGGTGTTTGGTGGTTTGTTCGATGGTGTTTGGCTGTGATGGGATGGTACGAAAGGGTGAGGTAGAGGAAAAGGATAAAGGGTCTTATATACAGAGTGAACGCCAGAGCAGTTGGGAATGCGCAACGTCAAGGCACACCCTTGTGACTTGCCAAAC